ATGGTGTTAATAATGAACATTGCTCCTCGATGAGCAAATGAACTCCCGAGACTTTCGAACACGATTCTGTATCACTTGTCGGACCAGTAACAACCCAGCCAAAGTTGCTATTAACGGCAACAGGACCACTTTCGCCTCGTACCATCTCGCCAGTGAGAATATCAAAATAATAATCTGCGCCAATAAGAATGTCGATATAACTGCTATCATTTTGTCGTCCTTCGAGAATGTTGAGATCAGAGAGCTGTAACTCTTGCAAATGTGGATATAAGCTTAGATCAATCGTGGTTGTCAATGGTGAGCAAAGATTTGTAAAACAAAGTACCGTTATCTTTCGATTGTCACTATTTCCCTTCAACGATAACTGGACTATATCGCAACGTCGTTTCTTAAAATGATCATCACCAAAGGTATTTAAATTAAGAGTTTCTGTTCGTATTGGAACCAGACCGAGTCGCTTCTTTAATGAATTGGTAATGTAGGAACGTTGGCTACCGCTATCCAAAAGTAATCGAACCGGTATTGGATTGGAGCCATTCTCCCCTTGCGCATACCTAACTGCTGTTTGCAGAAGAACTTTATTCCGTGTTTTTGTGGTCGTTGTTGTCGTTGAATCTTCTGTTGTCATATATCCAGTTGTAGTCGGATTATCAGTTGAAGTCAAATTGTTAATGACGGTTGCAGTGCTAGTATTATTTGGTTCTCCAGGCAACTCGTCGTCTTTACTGGGTGGGATGGGTTTATTTCCATTCATGAAAGGTGATGTATAGTGTGAGCCCTTGGATGCATCACAAATTGATTGGTGATGCCTGCCGTGACATCGTCTACAATTCTTTTTCGACTCGCATCTTGTACTGCGATGACCAATCCCCAAGCATGTAAAACACCGATTGTCTCTCCTCAATATATCCTTGCGAGCATTTGGGTTTGTCACGCGGTCACATGATGCCGAAAAATGGAATTCTTTGCATTAAACACATTGCATATGTTTACCAGTTTTGTCTTGAGTTGTAAATGCACCTGCAGAGGGTATTCTAGGGGAGTAGGGTGGGACAGATTTTTTACTCGGTTGTTGACGTGACTGCACTCCCTCGCTCACTTCCCGCGCTTCGATCTCAGTTTTTATTGTGTCTAGCAGTTCCTCAATTTTCCAAACGCCTCCCGTAGATTTTCTAGCAAGTTCAAGGCGGATTTCGGTTGGCAATTTAGACATAATAATTGGGATTAGCATGCTACCGTATTGTTCAGAAGATACCCCAAGAGACGCCAAACCCCGCACATGGACACTTATTTTGTCGTAAACATATCTCAGTTGACTTGTTCGACCGTTCAGGCAAACTTGGATCTTCAAAATTCCATCCATGTGGGCAGCTATTGTCTGCTGAGTTTTCCCAAATCGTTCTCGCAAAATTGCAATCGCAGCGTTATAATTTGCACTGGTCAATGTGAGACCTTTTATTGCACGCGCTGCCTGCCCCTCAAGTAATGATTGTAAATAATTAAACTTATTAACTTTCGAAATAGTTGGGTTACTATGAATAGCTGAATCGTATAAGTCCCAAAACGAATTCCACTCAGTTACTTTACCTCCATATTTAGGGGAGTTCCAACTTCGGAAGCTTGGGCAAACTTGATACAAAATGTCCCATTGGTGTTGTTGACATTGTCGTAGTTGTTGATTGCTGTAATAAAGGCGAACTGTTCCCTAAATTTAAACTCGTATTTTCCTCGTTCTCTTCGATCGTAGCCGGTAAATTATCAGTTGTACTTTCAGTTGTATTTTCGATACTTTCCTGTTCCATACTCGTGCTGGGAGTCAGGTTCGAATTCGTAACTATAACATTCGTATTATTAATATGACCCTGAACTTTTGCAGACTTGGCAGATTTCGTGTGTTTGTCGATTCTTCGCTTCGTATTCGAAATTCTATCGGAAATTTCGGCTGATTCTTCGATTTCGTTTTGTATATCACTCACGTCGCAAATGTCCAATATTTCTTCGTCGATTTCGCTTAATAATTTCAGTTTGTCTTGGAGTTGTACAGCAATAACTTCGCTTCGTTCGATGTGATCTCCTTCACCTTCGGGTATTTGTAATAATTCAGTCACTTCCTTTTCGAGTTTTGTACACACACCGCGATGATCTCGTCGTCTGGCACGTAGCCTATTCAATTTTTCCTTCACTTCGTCGGCCATTTCGTAATTTCGGGTTCGATTGGGCGACTTTATTTCGAAAAAGTCTGCCCCACGTTGGGCGCCATGTTATGCACGTCGCATAATATTTATCGCATTTCCTCGCTCAATACTTAACTTTCGTTCAATTAACACACGGATAACATGAAAATTATATAACTTTACTATCAAATAATAAGTAAAAGACTTAAACATAACTAACGTTAACGTTGAGTTCGTAACGAAATATCCTCGAATAATCGAATATAATATAGATAATACACGTTCGATCGATAGAATATGAAACTTGTTGTTTTTATACTAAAATTCCCGTATGTAAAAGCGAATCGCCCGTGGTTAGCCTGCGAACAGGTTCAACAACCTGCAATCAGGCTCAAAGTAAACGCAACAAATGTTATTGAAACTCTGTTCATGTCTCACAGTTTATCACATCGGCCTTCAAAACACTATTTATAGAGTGTTATTTCAAAGACGTTTTCTAAATGTAAGGCCATTGCTCACTCAGTTGTTAGCGTTAGAAGAATGCGGTTGTTAGGAATATGAGACGAAGTTTCCGAGCTGTTTACGATTATTACCTCCGCCATGAGGTTATGTAATCATCTGGGTTTGTGTGTGCATGTGTATATGTGTGTATGTGTGTTTGTCTGTCAGCACGATAACTCAAAAAATACCAAACATATTCATACGAAATTTTTTGAATGCATTTCCCATCGGCTAAGGAAAACTGATTAAAATTTGGTTGAATTTGGCTAGAAATTGAATGAGAAATGAACAAAAAATTTTTCTTGCTTTTCCCGCTCAATTAAAAAAACTTACTGAATGCGTAATTAGGACGTGTATAATTTATGCACGCAGTATACTGTACAGGGTATACAGGGTGTCCCAAAAAAAAGTGACACTATAGAAATTATCTCATTGTTCTTAAGCCGCTCTTAAACGCGCGTGATTACACGCCTGGGAATTTTATTTATTTATTTATTTTATTGTAATTTGCCCCCAAAAAAGATGTATATGAATGTAATGAACTTGTATTTGCATTTAAACCTTTTAAAACGTTTTCGCTTTGTCCAAATATTTTAACGCCCGTCTCAAACAAAACAATTACACTAATAAACGGTTTGCTTTTTTATTTTAAATTCCAGAAGCAGAATTTTATGCACCTGTGGGATCAACTTAATCTAAGGCATTCAAATTATAACAATAGGATAATTTCTATAGTGTCACTTTCTTTTGGGACACCCTGTATAAAGGTATACAAATAATGTAATCCCATTAATCGTATCTTTTTAGATTGTATACAAATCCGGCCGCTCTAAAATCGTGTGCTTTACAAATATATTCTAATTTCTTAATAATTTTATATACCGTACACCCTGCATGCATGGCAATATTTTAGGTACGTTTTATACGCCGAATTTCGGTCGCGTCGAATGCGAATAAGACAATAATGAGATGATAAACCTCATTAAGCGTCAGCCTTCATTATCTACAGTGTTGTCTTAATTGCGACCGAAATTCATTGCCTAAAACAAGCTTTACGGAGCTAGGCATTATTGCGTTCAGCAAAGTGCCAGTCCATTCAAATTCTAATAACATTAGATTACTTCAATACAGGGTGTATAAAAAAAACGCAACCTCGGAATTTCCCAACAAAATCGACATTGTTATAAGGACAAAAGATGTTAGGTGCCTGGAATTTAAAATAGCACAACTGTCAAAATTACTGCACACGCGAGTGCACAAAGCAAAATTTATGCATTTATTTAATGACACTTAAAAAGTTTTTATTTTACAAGTACAGTACAACAACAGCAATATGATCTATTAACAATTCGATTTCAATTCGCGGCTCTAAAATATTTTATGCTTAAGAATTGCAAAGTGGATTTCTTAGGAAATTCCAAGGTTGCGTTTCACTTCCGAGTAGCGGGCGGAGGTATGCAGTCTCTGAGTGCCCTCTAGTTTCTTTTGTTACGCAATCAAAACACAGTCACTGTGTCCAAGGTATTCAAATACCTTATTATCATAAGTTACTGTTTTGAGCAACATTTTTACCGCGGCCCGTATCAGAACACCGCAGACGCATTTAAAAACATTTTTTTCGATGGAAGTAAAGTCCTCGCCTTACGCCTTCGGAAAGCTCTCGGCTTATCTTCGTCGAAAATAATTCAATGCTTTAAAAACGTGGCTAATTTTACATTTAGAGCTGTCAATTTTAAAATTTACAAAAGAATTTGCCCTTGTTCATCTTAGTAAACTCAAAAAAAATTTCATTATTTTTGTACACAGAAATGACTTGCGTGAAAATATGTTAAACTTAATGGTGGATATTTCCCAAAAACTATTTTACTATCCATAATCGGTAAAATCTGACCGTGTCTTGAGTTACACTCGATCCACCCTGGATCCGCTTCTGTAATCACTATGCGTTGAATATCCGTATCCTTCCTGTTAAGTACAACAGGGCCCAAGTTCGTGTAAACGTATGCGCGTGGTTTGATTTTTGTATGTGTACATATACAAAATTATTGTTCTTTCTACGTGTACAACATTAATACAACTGTCAGGAAGCTACGTTGACTGAAATACTCGTTTTCTTGTATTTGTAATTTTCCCAGTTATGACGTCGTCAACATTTTTTACACCAGCACTTGTGGTCCACGCTTTGTCTTTCAGGCTGAGAGACCCTGGTTCAATCCTTGGTAGGACCTCTACACAAGGTCTTAAAATGATTGTGGAGAAAATGTGACCTTTACATTGACATCAGTATATAGTTAGACTTTCGCGTCTTCTTGGGTAAGGACGTTAAAATTGTAGGTTTCTCGGATCCCCTATCAATTGGGCAATGGCCTGTTACGAAATCCGCTCACCATGAATGAGTGAGAAACTCAATTTCTCCCTGAATTTTTATATGGTCCATGTTTTTTTTTATAAAATTGCTTAATATAGAGGAAACTCAGAAAACCATCAGTCGAATAGATATCGAAGGACGACTAACAGACAAAAAGAACAAGGATGATTCTTGGAGTGTTTCTTTTGAAGCAGGCGTTGATCCATTAGATATTAACGACGATGCACTTCCAGGCGATGGGAGTGAAAACCATGGATTTCTTGGACTCAAGCTAGTTCATACACAGTGGCGTTACGATTTTGGCTTTCTCACTCCAAAATGTATGTCTGCTCAAAAATTGTGTATTTGATAAAGCAAATTTTTAGCAGCATTCCTTTGTTTTATGGCAATAAAAAAATTAGTTATTCATAAGTAACTTTATTATATGACAATGACGGGAGAACACGAAAAATCTGAGAGGGGATTGCACGATAAGAAGCAGTATTGCCCTCGTCTAAACCAGTTGTTCCTGGTTAGGACGAAGCAAAAATCCGACTTTTTTGAGTGAAAAAAACACACTGCGGAAAAACACTAGGTCATTGACGAATCCTGACTGGAATATCATGCTACGAACACTCAAACAGTAATAAAATAACGCTATAAAACGGCACGAGTAAAACAGCAAACGTGCGAGCAATTTGAGATATGTATGTTTTAAATATACAGTGTATATGTAGAGCAAAACAGCAGCAAAAATGCTGTAAACAAAAGCTCAACCTTTTAAATGTATTTCAAAAACTAGTTTTTCGACGAAAACATATCATTAGAACTTACTTGAACATTTTCTAAGTATAATTGGACCGTTTGGACGTAAAATATTAGGTTCGTACAAAACTTGAGTCATTGTTGCGCCCAACACTGGATTTTTGAAATACATGCAAATCCTTCAAAAAAGACAAGGAAATCTAGTTTTTAAGGTTTGTCATATAATAAAAATCCCATGCATTGAATGGCATGGTATGTATCCTGAGAGCATTTTACTCTTTCTAGCAAATACGTTCGAAAATACTCGGCGGATTATATGTTAAACCATTCAATTAGATATAGCTATGCATATTCAAACATTTAATGACGTAATACAACGATAAAGCATATTTTAAAAGTTGACGAAGTTTCGATTTTGGACGTATATCTATACGCCCTTTTCCAGTCAACCGGTCCCTATTAACATATTGTACCGGTGCAATATAATTTTCAGCTTCATATCTGCGATTCGGCGCATGCTATGAAGACCAGAGTACTTCCGTTCGATTCAGGGAAACAAAGAATTCGCCCTTGATTATATGTCAAACCATTCAATTAGATATAGCTATGCATATTCAAACATTTAATGACGAAATACAACGATAAAACATATTTTAAAAGTTTCGATTTGGGACGTATATCTATACGCCCTTTTCCCGTCAAATAACTGGAAATGAAACAAATTTACAGTAAAGTATATACTTAGACGTGTGGTGTCCTGATTATGAAGCAAACCTGTTAAAAATATAGAGAATGTCTGAGAAAAATTAGTATTCATTTTCAAACAAATTTTGAAACACTGTTCCGGAGAATTGCACCCTCTTTGGCTGAAAAACCAAAAATTAACATTAAGTGGTGAATGATGTACAATTTAAAATATTTTCAGTTTCTGTATTGAGTGTATTTAAACTTGTGAGAAAAAGCATTTTATTGTGAGTCAACAATATGGTTTATCGCACTAAATGTGCTCGGTACGATGTTGACTGCGTATGGTATACAACGCGGTGAAACGCATAACAGGGCGAGTAATTTTGAAGACAATTTTAGTATCTTACGCAAAATTATGTAAAAGTAAATTTGATTGTGTGGTTTATGAATTGCTATACATTAGAGACTTTATACCATCTCTTTAATTTAATGTGCAATCGAATTCTATTAGTGGCACGGCTTAATCGATATCACAACTGTTCTTCTATTGAAGCAGTGCATGTGTTGTAGTAGTTTGTAGTAATTTTAGCATGGTGCATGATTGTTACTTTTGATCTTTTGTTATCCTGTATCTTGTTTCCTAGACAGAAATGTTAGGCTGAAAGCATGGGAAGGCTTACCTCCTGGTAACGACGACAAACCACCAGTTGAAGTAAAAAATATTTTAACACCTGTTTTCATCCATTCTGAGGATGGCATTAAAGCTTGGATATGTCACCCTTCCAAATGTTATCTCAAAGGGGAAATAATGATGCCAAACTCACAGTATGACTGCAGAATGAAATTAAGAGCTGGTATGTTATGTCGGATAAAGCATTCACAAGTAGTAAATGTGAAATTGGGAATTAACATGCACACTTACGTAATTGCAGGTTTACAGTTCAGAATGGAGTAAGGCCCGTTTCGTACGGATTGTTTCGAACCTTCGACTTCTTTCTTTAACGTCTGTATTACGTAAGTGTAGTTTTCTAGTTCGATCGGTTATACTTTTTTGCGCAGCACAAACACACGTGCGGGAGATATTGTTTAGACCAAAATACGAGTTCGTATATTGCCAGTGCTATTTTGAGCGCGATGATTACAGTATAACATTCAGCATTAAATTTAATAGTTTGGCGACTTATTCAAGTGAGTACGTGCAGTATGTTGTTGCATATCTTGCATTGTATTAATCGTACTAACCTCAAAATTTGTGGCTGCGCTACAAAATTTGATTGTATCAGTCAAGATTTGATATAATTTAGAACGATATGGTTCAAGTATAGGTTTTGTCTATAGTTTCATTTTGACGTTTACCATTGGAGTTAACTTCAAATTGAGTAGGCTTGTAGCCTTCAAGAATATCCGAACGTAGCGCTCTTTATTACTTGCTAATTCATATTTTGTTTACATATTACTTGTTATTTTGACTATACGGTCGTCATTTGCGTGTGCAATTTATCATGTGTTATCCAGCATTACTGTGCCTTTTACAGTTCCGCGGTAGGGTATAATTCTATTGTCAGTAACAGTCGTGACTGTTTACAAACATAATGTGTTTGCCACCACGCTCTTAAGCTTTACCCTAGAGCATTTCATCGTATTTTAATGAAACTTCTGTGATATATTCAATTCATAAAGTGACTGAAACAATGAAGGCTATACTGTATTTTATATATTACATATAGTATTTATAGATCTTATTCATAATTCGCAATCGGGGCCACGTATCGTAGGAAAATGGAATAAACGCGGGAAAATTGACAAAAAAGTCAGCGGATGAAAGTTGAAATAATACTTTTAAAAGTATATTTATCACTTATTTACTGAGACCGAGGGAAACAGTGTGTTTTGTGGACCCGAGACCTCCGCAACAACGGCGGTCGAGGGGGTCTCAGTAAATAAGTGTTTTGTTATATAGTATATAAGTGTCAAAGTATGCATTATTCACCGGTTATTGGAGTGAACTTAATTTGAAACCAAAACTGGATAAATGGAACGCCGTAAATGTTTAATAAAAGTTTAAAAAATGAATTTTGTAACTTTATGGTTGACACGCATGCGTATTGCACCCATTTTATTATTGACCGGTCAATAAATGTTTCATTGTGGACCGGTTGCCTCCTCGGCAAAGCACGCAGTGAACATGACGTTTTGTGGACCGGCACGTGATACGGTTTTGACCAATCGGCAAATAGAAAACTTGAACTTTGACACCAAGTAACTATTGGTCAAAACCGTATCACGTGCCGATCCACAAAACGTCATGTTCACTGCCTGCTTTGATGAGAGGGCAACCGGTCCACAATAGAGAGGTTAAGACACACCGGTTCCGGTTTAAGGGTACGAGTATCGCCATTTTGTTTACCAATATTTGCTGATGTCAGCATTTTTACTCGTAACATCTACCCGTTTCCCCGCAGTAAACCATGGCTTACACGTAAACGACAAACGGGTACGGGTAGCAAATAGCAAAAACTTCAACATCTTACCCAAAAAAATAATAAATTAATACACACAAACAATCTATGGCAAACGTTAACAGCGAAAGTTACAATTCTCTGATCGGTTTTCTCACGGCGGAGTATCTTGGATTTCTTAAGTTACAAATCGTTCCCCGACTTACGGGTACGGGTACGTGTATATCACCCGTACCCGTAAACCGGAACCGGGGTATCGTAACCTCTCTAATTAAACATTTATTGACCGGTCAACAATGAATGGATGCAGTGCCATGCGTGTCAATCGTGAAGTTCCAAAGTTCATTTTATTAAACTTTTTTTATTAAACACTTACGGCATTCCATTCATCTTGTTTTGCTTTCAAAGTTCACTCCAATAACCGATGAATTATTTCATGATACTTTGACACTTATATGCTACATAACAAAGCACTTATTTTCTGAGACTTCGGAAAGCAGGGTGTTTTGTGGCCCCTCGACCGCCGTTGTTGGCGTTCTCGGTTCACAAAACACACTGTTTCCCTCGGTCTCCGCAAATAGGTGATACTTATTTACAGGCTGAGAGGTACGCACTAAAAATATTTTCCCGAGTTCTCGTGAACCAATCAGAAGGCTCCATTTACGTTACGGACCTGGGATTACTGACCGGAAAAAATTAAAGCAAGCATTTGACGTAAAAGTTGCTGGGGTCAATCGGAAAAGGAAACTTTTAATTGTTTTGTTGTAGTCACAGGCACAGTTCATAATTTTCCATGCGCATCAGTATTATTTGAAGTTCTATTGTGATTCTTGACCTCTTATATTAATGTCCAATTGTAATAATATATATACTTTTTTCAGGTTTGTCTGTGTTTTTTTTTTCATGGAATAACTATAGTCTATATATTGATGTTAAAATCTCAACAAAACACTGTTTTCACCTCTGAAAAAATTCTATCACCACCTTGTAGTTGTAGCTTTCGTTGTCGCCACAAAATTTTAAAGCACACAAAAAGTCGTGATAAATTGAAATAAACAACAAGAAAAAAGCCATTAAATTTGGATTTTCGAGCAGGGAAAACCCAGCTATCGCTGGCTTTCCTGCGTTTACTGCCGTTTCCTAGGATACTTGGCCCCGATTGCGTATTATGAGTAATTTCTACACCCAAATATATTTGAATAGTTTGAGTAATCATGAGTAATCTTTCTTCCAAGGAAATTCTTTTAGCTAAAATCTTGTATGATTTCGTGAAGAAAAACGCTCTTACAATTTTTGTAATACGATATTTTAACTTGTTCCGTTAGTGATACAAGTGATATAGACAACTTGCATGTTAGACTAATTTTTTATTTAGGCAAAAAAAAAGTAAATTCCCGTAAAGAACTTATTAATTAAAATCAGTAAAATTGCAAAATTTGGTTGCAAAATGTTGTAAAATGCAGAAAATATAGCATTATAGCCTTGCGAAGTTTGCATATTTTCAGTATATTTGTATTACGTGCGGAAATTGTTACCATTTTTGAGCCGAAAATGGTAGCAATTTCCGCACGTAATACAAATATACTGAAAATATGCAAACTTCGCAAGGCTATATTTTCTGCATTTTACAACATTTCGGAACCAAATTTTGCAATTTTACTAATTTTATTATTTTCTTTTTAACTGTTGTGTTTTATTCCCCTCTCTTTACTTAGATTAAAATTTAATCTAACATGCATGTTGTCCATTGCCAAAACGCATTTGGATTCAATTCCATACAGCTGTTGCATATGGTAATTTATGTAGAGTAGAGTATATATGAAGGAAAGATTCTGTTTGGTAGAATAATATATAGAAATAGTGCAAAACCTTGAGAGTATAAACCGATACACTATAGTTTTAGTTAGTAGTCGGGCACATGTCAATATTCCTTACGCGCTTGCGCTAAATAACTGGAATGTTTATATATCTTCGACAGTAATATAGGCGTTGCTGCAAGCTCATAAAGAGTTCGACCATATCGAATGTGCAGTTAGCTTCTACATTAGGAAGCTTAAGATGTCGTAAATCTACGCCGACGTGACGAAAACACACGCTCGCTACATTCACAGTTTCTGCAACACGCCGGATAAAAACACAGAAAAATCGATTCGTTTTGTAAACAAATCTGGATACACTTGAAAAACACATTTAAACTGGTAACAAATCCAAAAGTGAAATATAATACCTGTTTTTTTTGTCGCGTTAAGCATGTACATCTTTGTAAATTAGCTCCCTTTTTTGGAACTGCTGCACTCACTGACTCACTTGATGCATGGTTATTATATTTTCGAAAAATCCAATATGATTCTTTTATATTTATAGGTTCCCGTTATAGCGTTTGTATAGAAGAGGACGCAGTCCTGTCGGATTATCTTTCCAACTGCCAATTTGATAACGCAAAACATCATATGGATTTACCAGATGAAAAAGACCATGAGATGCCGGAAGGGTTTAGGTGTAAGTTTTACCGCGAGGCAAAAGAAACTATGTTTGAAGCTACCGTTGATGGAGAGTGTTTTACCGTTATGGTTTTGAATGAAAAGGAGTGGGATTCAGACTCATCAGATAGAAGAGACAAGGAACAGGTTTGTATGCTTTAATTTCAAAGTTATCAACAAAAGAGAGAAATTAATTTTATTATCATTATAATTATAATTACACTGAGCTGAAATGTCAAGTGCCTTAAATCCCTAATTTTCTGTCTTCTGTTTTCTTCGTCGTCGAGAAATCAAGTTTGCGTTAACGCAACGCAGGCTCAGAGTGCATCGATTAAGCCAAAATGCCATCGATTCCTGGATTTAAATATAGTGACAAGCTCGTATTTATGTACGTAATAGTCGGCTCATGCCATGCTTGTGGTACCTTTTTCGTTTGTCAGCCGCTCCAGTGACATATTTAGTTCAGTTTCAAATAGGCGGCTTTCACTGAATGTCTATATATATTTCACACAGTTTCGTTGTTGAATTTTCAAAGAATTGTGCCAGTTTCCTAAGGACTTTACGTTGTGTCGCACTCTGGACTTTCTTGCGTGTTGAATTAATTAATCTGTTTTTCTTTGTGTAACGACTCCAAAACCCCCAAATTTGGACCCATCGAATTTATACAATATAGTGCCTTAGTGGAATATAAACATGGATAAGTTAAAGGTTTGGCAGTTTGGCAACACAACGTAGTTTTAACAAACAACTGTGAACATACGTTGTAGACTCATAAACATCCGTTGTGTACTTGTGTTCATTTCCATAATTGCTGCCGTAGGCAACACACTAATCTCGACAACTGATTTTGACGTCATAACTCGTGCCAGTTCCATTGGCCGAGTTTTAACGATGCAGCTTGAAGCAAAATATAGAAGAAAGTTGGATTTCTGATGCTCGGTAATTGCTCGTAAGTCGCCTTAAAGCTCTCGCTCTGTACTTTCCGCCATGATGAAAAGTATAAATGATGAAAGATATAAAAGACAGTAATTTCTTTAGAGAAAAAGACCATAATTTTGTAATTTTTAAATGTTGTAATGATTGAAGACTTGATATTAAGGCTCTGCTCACAAGAAGGCATACATCGAAATGAAGTATAGTCTTGTATAGTGTCGTATAGTTGTGTATATATAGCGTTGTAGGAGTTTTCTATAGTGTAGTATGGACTATAGTGTTGTATTATTGCACAGGCTTGTCAATAGTGTCGTATATAGTCTTCTACAGTGTAGTATAGTGTTGTGTAGTCTTGTATAGTGTCGTATAGTCTTGTATATCGTTGTATAGTGTTGTAAAGTATCGTATAGCCTTATATAGTGTGGTGCATGTAATCTTGTATAACGTTGTATAGTTTCATATAACCTTATATAGTGTTGTATAGTCTTGTATAACATTGTATAGTGTCGTATAGCTTTATATATTGTTGTATAATCTTGTATAACGATGTATAATATTGTATAGTGTCGTATAGCCTTAAAAATTTTTGTATAGCTTGTATAATGTTGTATAGTGTCGTATAGCTTTATATAGTGTTTTATAATCTTATATAACATTGTATGGTGTTGTATAGTGTTGTATACTGTCTTACAGCCTTATATAGTGTTGTATAATCTTGTATAACGTTGTCGGCAAATCTGAAAATTGATGCCGGTATTGTTGCTAGGCAACATTTTTTTGTTATTGTGTAATGGGAATATACTTTTTAATCGCGTTAAAAATATTGTTTTTGTGTTATTATCACAAGGTTATTTAATAAAGGAAATAGAAAACATTTTTTCCTGTGTTTCTATAGAGTTATAGAAACACTTGTGCTAGTTTGGGAAAACTCGAAATAACGTGGAAACACTCGCACTACGTGCTCGTGTTCCCACTGATTATTTCTCGTTCTCCCAAACTGGCACGCGTGTTTCTATTTAACAATTAGTTGCCTCAGGCTCGGTGATTACAAGCCTATATTCACTGAGCCGAAGGCGATGTGATTACAGGCTTGTAATCACCGAGCCTGAGGCGACTAATTGTTTTTGTATAAATTTCCAGGTGTTTACAAACAATAATCCACACAACGTTATAAAAATTCACTTCAAATAAATTTATTTTCGCTATAAATAGTTTGTTTACAAAATTTAAAACTCAGACACGGCTCTGTGTAGCGTTGCGACTAAGCCAGTTTTTTTTCCATATAAAAGCACGTAAAGTTTAATATTTTGCCTTCAAGTATTTTTAAACCATATTTTGTAGCTTGTTTGGGTTTTTTCGGAATGCTATCTTCCTTAATTTTGGCAATTTCCTCCTCTCTTACTACGGCAAAACGAGCAGCCATTTTGAAAAAAAGCTATAGTCACTGACCAGTGACTATCACTTCAGAGACTGTGAATCTTGACCAATCAGAATGCAGAAAAATCAATAGTCACCTGGAAATTTATACTAAAACTCTATAGAAACACGGAAAATGTTTTCAATTTCTTAAATAATAGTCCTTGGCTCTTTTGCATTATATTATTCCGTTATTAATAGTATTATGAACTGAGAGTCATTCTAGGTTATTACTCTGGAAGTGACCACACTTGACTTTGTGTCTAAGAATATTGCAAAATTCCGCAAATTAACCTTAGTGACAATCGCATAATAGCTAAAGGGTAGAGAGAGAGCATTTGGGCCACATTCCACATATATTGTCGGAGAAATAAGCCGTGGAATGACCCAGAATTACTTAATTTCTATTACCTACTAGATTAGATTAGATTAGAAGATTAGAAAATTATTATCTTTCCCACAGAGGAGCTTTTCAAAGATAATTACAAAAGAAATGCAATAATTTACATAAATATAAAAAAATATATATATATATATACAGGAATACAAGTACCTAATTACTATTTTATAGACATACACATTACTATAATGAGTTTAAAGGTTTAAAAATTTAAATAGCTAAGAAGTCGCTGAGAAGTTTGTTTCGAAGGCT